TTTTCTCTCTCTCTCTCTCTCTCTCTCTCTCTCTCTCTTTCTCTCTTCCCCCCATCCTCCCCACCCCTCTCACCTACAGAGCCGGGAAAGATGACGTCCTTCTTCTCAAACCGTTTAAGCGGAAGTAACGTCCGCTTGCTCTGCGCATGTCTGCGCGCGTCGATGTGCCGGAAATAGCCGGTGATGTAGATGTTGTCATGACTCAGGTCGCTCTGGTACTTTCTGCTCACACACAGGCCAACGACCCGGGAGGTTGGTGGAGAGTGGGTTGGGAGGATGGGGAGAGGGGCGATGAAGGATGGCCAACGGGAAGAGGGGCAGGAGGTGGCAAGGAATGAACGACAAGCCTACTTTTTACTTCACTGAAAAATAATCTAGTACTAGTACTCCCAACACTTTGAGAAAACCAGGCATATCCGAAATCCAGGGAAAACAAGAGCTTTTTAACTTCAGTAGCCCAGTTGACTCTGCCCAGTTCACATGAACGATAATATATATATATATAGATCTATACTAGCACTATTTCTTTGGACATCTGTCATTTTTTAAGTTCACAAAGTATACAGTAATATACAATTGCATGGATCCCCGTTCATCTGAGCAGACGTTAATTAATTAACGCATGAAAGAACACTTTGATACCTTTTTTTTTTCAAAATAGTATACATTGGTGTCCAGAACAGCCAAGACTTCGTAATAATGCCCAAAGCTTTTCTCTGTCAACCCAATCAAATGCTTTTAAAAAGTGTACAAAACATACATTGAATCTTCCACCAGGCTATGAGATATATTTCTGGACTAAAGATTGGAGTATACATTATCTATAGAAGAATAACTTTGTCTAAAAGCGGTTTTGAGTTCCAGGGATGAGGTTACCTTCATCACGCCATTGTTGCAGTCTTCTATTCAATATAAATGAGAACAATTTATCAAGTACATTCAGTAAACTAATGCCCCTTTAATTGTTCACATCATTTACGTTTCCTATTTTGTGCAAACTAAATTTTAATATCATAGACTTGGTCCACTCCTATGGATAGTTGCCTAGAAATGTTTAAAAACTGCATTAAACTGTATTTCAGAGATGTCGAAAGGTACATCTGTGGTGATAGAGCTTTTGGAGGGTGTAAAAAGGGGAAATTCTCAAAATTTGGACTTGGGTCTAGACGGTCATATAATCAGGCCACCTGCGCGCTACTGACCTAGATTCCTTGTGGGCTGACACACCCGTGTAGTAGGCCCACAACCTTGTAGATCATTAGTAGTGATAAGCCTACGCAGGGTGCGGCGGTCAGTTTGAATTGTTGTTTGCTCATGCTGTGACATTGGATTATTTCTACCTAATGCAGTTTGCTTTTCAAGTCATCTGGATTATG